TACTTAAGTATTGAAAGTAAAAGTACAAGTAAATGCAAAATGGAAAAGAAGCAAATAAATATATATAAAAAATGTTCATACACAGCTTGAGTAGCAAGATTGTGTTCAGTTTTATCTCTTTCTTCCATTTTATATTTTTGGGTAATAATAATAAGCACTTCATCCGGTAGTGTCTTTCATTCCAATATAAGAAAAAATTTCTGGAATCTGCATCTGAAATAGCATTTAGATGTATTCACACAGTTTATGTATCTCAGAGGGGACATGGATGCATTTAAACTGCAGTTACAGATGCATAAATAGGGATAATGTTTTGTTTTTAACATAAAACGTTGAATACTGATATTTGAAATAATTTAAAACATGAAAAAAATGTGAAATTAAAACCGCCAGTAGGTGACAGCAAGTGACTGTTAATGAGTGAGTCATTGAGATTCAACCAATTCATTCAAAATTCAGGAACAAAGCATTTGACTGCGTTAATGAGTGAATCACTGAATCATTTATTCAACCGATTCGTTCAAACGACTGATTCATTCAGGAACAAAGCATTTGACTGTGTTAATGAGTGAATCACTGAATCATTTAGTCAACTGATTCGTTCAAAAAGCTGATTCATTCAATAAGTAAACACAGTAAATTGCTCAGAGACGCAAAACAGTTCTGTGATCTTTGTTTGAGCTGTGTGTGATTTGGTGATATAGCCTACTTGATAATGTCCGATTGCACAGCATTACGACACTTACCATATTATCACAGACGATGCTGTATCGCACGCCCCAGACTCGACTTGAGTGGGAAATGAATCATCCGCGGTTGTGCGCGCACTTGTTTGCACGAGCAAAGGTGTTTTAGGAGTCTAGCTTGCAGACGGCAGACCACTGATTCGTCAAACCTGCTTCCCTTCAGTCCGTGTTCTTCTGATTACTGACTGTTTTGTAGCAAGTAACGAATGTGCTTCGGGGAAATGTATCGGAGATTAAATAGATTAATTTAATAGATTAAATGAAAAGGGACAAAATTAATCTTGACAAACTATATATCATTCTAAAGGTCTAAGCCTCAAGCATCTTATAAGGAATGTATTATGTATTTGAATGTATTACTGACTGTATGAGCAGCTGTCAGTGTGAATGTGGTCTATATGAATAGAGTGTGATTACTGACTGTATGAGCAGCTGTCGGTGTGAATGCGGTCTATATGAATAGAGTGTGATTACTGACTGTATGAGCAGCTGTCAGTGTGAACGCGGTCTATATGAATAGAGTGTGATTACTGACTGTATGAGCAGCTCCCGGCGTTAAATATTTTTAACGCGTTAAACTGAAAAAAAACAAATCTTAAAAAAAATTAAGAGTTTTTAAAACTTAACATTAGATGATTGATAGTTCTCACTACAAAAAAATATATAATTTGTGCCTAAAATGTTTTGAAAACTATAACTGAAATGTCAATGTACCTCATTCATGCAATATTCATATTTCAATCTTTGAATATTGGTTTATTTAAAGTGATTAAAAAAAATAATAATTTCATTTCAGAGCTGATGGAAGAGAGCGAGGAGAGAGAAGAACTGAGTGAAGTGGAGGAGAAACATCATCACAAACCTGGAGAAAAACCTTCGAGTCGCTCGAAGACTAAAAATACATTTTTAAAGAAAAGAAAAGCCGATAAATCTATCACCTGCACTCAGTGTGGGAAGAGCTTCCCATTCAAGCAAAGTCTTGAGCGTCACATGAGAGTTCACACCGGCGAGAAGCCGTTCACATGTGATCAGTGCGGAAACCAATTCAAAGAAAGAGGAAACCTTAACAAGCACATGAAAATCCACACTGGGGAAAAGCCATTTACATGTGATCAGTGCGGGAAGAGTTTCTCACAATCAGCAAATTTTAAAGTACACATGAAAATCCACACTGGAGAAAAGCCACACACATGTAAACAGTGCGGGAAGAGTTTCACACAATCAGCACATCTTAAAGTACACATGAAAATCCACACTGGAGAAAAGCCATTTACATGTGATCAGTGTGGGAAGAGTTTCACACACAAACAAAGTCTTGAGCTTCACACGAGAGTTCACACCGGAGAGAAGCCATTCACATGTGGCAAATGTGGAAAGAGCTTCACGCAACCATCACATCTTAGACAACACATGAAAATCCACACTGGAGAAAAGCCACACACATGTGATCAGTGCGGGAAGAGTTTCACACACAAACAAAGTCTTGAGCGTCACACGCAATCAGCAAACCTTAAACGACACATGAGAGATCACACCGGAGAGAAGCCGCACACATGTGATCAGTGTGGGAAGAGTTTCACGCAATCATCAAACCTTAAACGACACATGAGAGTTCACACCGGAGAGAAGCCGCACACGTGTGATCAGTGTGGGAAGAGTTTCACACAACCAGCAAAACTTAAAGAACACATGAGGATCCACACTGGAGAGAAGCCGTTCAAGTGTGATCAGTGCGGCAAAACATTTCTTCGGTCATCAGCTTTGAAGACACACCTGACGGTTCATACGCAGGAGAAGCCACATTCCTGTTCTGAATGTGGAAAGTGTTTTTCACTGCTGCGGAGATTACATAGACATGAGAAAATTCACACTGGTGTGAGAGAGTACATGTGCTTTCAGTGTGACAAGACTTTTATTACAGCGGACTGTTTAACACGGCATCAGAAGATTCACACTGGTGTGAGAGAGTACATGTGCTTTGAGTGTGACAAGACTTTTATTACAGCGAGCTGTTTAAAACTGCATCAGAAAATTCACACTGGTGTGAGAGAGTACATGTGCTTTGAGTGTGACAGGACTTTTACTTCAGCAAACCGTTTAAAACAGCACCAGAGGAGCCACACTGGAGAGAAACTTCACAAGTGTTCACACTGTGACAAGAGTTTCAGTCAGTCATCAAATCTGAATGCACATGAGAAGATCCACAGCAGAGAGAAGCCACACACGTGTGATCAGGTGATTTAATAAAAAAATCCTCATAAAAAATCCTCATGAATTGAAATCATTCTAATTACGAAGCTCTAGACAAAACATATAAACATATGTGATATGCTTCGTAAGGTTAATGTACATCCAGCCTGTTACTTAGAATTGGATTACAGAACAACTGTTTTGCACATTGTAATGGATTAAAACCTATGATAAGAGATCCACCATGACACACAAGGAAATATGTGACACAGACCATGCAAATAAAGTCTTTCTTTATGATACAAGTCAGGGGTATTCGATTAAAGTTCCAGGAGGTCCGGTCTTTCCAGCGTGGGGAAAATTTATGGGCCATTCTACAGAATTGGTCCAAAGCCAGAGTTGGAAACTCTGTATGTATGCATATTGTATAATATCCAAGGTACACATTTCTAGTAGTTGTGCAGCTAATTATTATATTGTATTTTCAGAAAGTTTTGGAATATTTGTCCTCTCCCCAAATTTGTCACTACCGAAACACAGTAATAACAATTTAATTAGAAAGGTTATTGTTAATAAAGAATAACAATTTGGTCCCTTTGTAAATTCTCTTTGCCACCTTGAACTTTTCTCAGTCTCCTTAAAGTGTAAATACGGCCGGGAAGTAAGAAAACACACAGTCAAATGTATCCTCAATACTTCAATTTATTCATAGAAATACAGATATTATATAGGCATATGTCGAGGGGAGTTTCATCCTCTTAACCAATGAGGATATGAATAACATACACGTAGGATCTTTGGCCAAGAACATGTGTTTATATAAAATAGCCACATGTACAGAAAAACATGGACATATTAGGAACAGACTTTTGCGAAGAATGCTGAACTGTCTTCAGAGTTTCTCTCGAACTCCTTTACCCTTGTAGTCCTAACATTCATGTCATTAATTGGGCCTTTAAATCAAGAGAAGCTAATGTATACATTTAAGCATGCATACCTTGCATATAAGTAAGACATATTTAAAATATAATATCAAGAGAGAGAGATGGATACAGAAGGAGGAATTCAGAAAGAATGCGTTGTATATATAAGAATGAGAGAGAGGGAGAAAAAGGAGGGGTAAGACAT